TTGAACTATATAACAAACAAAATTAGTTACCGTTAATTTAATGTCAACAATGATAAGAATAAAATATACCAACGGATTTATATTATATAAGTAATGTGTACGACAAACACGTAGTTGAACGTGTCATATTTTTTTTCATCGAAAGAAAAAGTTAGGTACACCTATAGATTTACTATATAGGGGTGCACCACAGTCCATCGTCAAGTTCGAAAAAGCTTTTTATTTTCTTGAGTAGGTATTGTAATAAAATTAAATTATTTCTATGTTTTTATAATGTAAGTTTTAAACTTGGGAAATGATAAGGGAAGTACTGACATCTTACCTATTTCAGCCGCCAAGCAGTAATGTGATCATTACTGCGTTCCGGTTTTGAAGGGTAAGGGTGCTGACGGTGAAATAACGGGAACATGGGACTTGTCAACTTATGTTTCAGGGTGAGGGGCGCAGTGGCAGTGCCCCTTAGATCTTTGCGATTTCAAGCTCTGAGTAGCACTGCTACTGTTGTGGATAGGCGTGTCGCTTACCACCAGGCGCACGACTTGTTCGCTCCGTCGCGTGGTATTATAAAACAAAAACTCGCAAAGCACCGTACGATCTCAGTGTAAGGTTGGACCATGGAGCATAATGTGTAGAATTTGACAGTATGCTCTATAGGGCGTAATCTTCACACCAGTGGTGAATCATTTTATACCAACCTCGTTGCCATAAATTAATTTATAAGAATAACTGCTTCAACATGTGCATAAAGATCTTCAATAGTTTACCAAATGAATTAAAATTACTACGCGGATCTTAGAGGATGGAAAAAATTAAGGAAAGGAGCTGCCTTATCTACGGAATAACCGTCTCTACCTATACCAAAAATGTCCACCACAAATGGCGGATTTAGTATTGTACCATAATCATAGATAAGTCAATATATCGACATGCAAATGTTGCAAATTGAAACTGTTGTTACTGTGTTTTATGTATGCAAATTTGTGCAGTTTACTGTAATCAAAGTATGATTAATACTAGGCTATTATTACTAGGCAAGTAATGAGCCATTTTAATCAAAATTCAATAGAAAGTTATTTACCAATAAATGTAACGATGGAATTGCATTATCATGTAATCTAGTTACATTCAAAGATCTATTAAAATTTGACTTCAAAATGGAGCGAACAAACGAAGATGGTATTTGATCCAATGTTTATGTTCGGCAGTCCTATAATTTCCAACCATTCTTTCTTTCTTTTTTCATTTGTAGGTAAAATTTAAAAATAATAATAATGAAATAATAAAAAACCTCGTGGTGAATTGTTTCAATAACAGAATATCGATAATATGTCTACTCACAAGAACAACACTATCTCAAAATAATCGTTGTCAACAATCATCAAAATATACTAACAAACAGGCAATCTAAAGTAACCAAAGCAAAATCGGCAAGACTTATGTATAAACCACTGAAAGGAGTCTAATTACTTGAGATATTTGGGCTATTGTATGATTTATAGGCAGAAAAATAACACATAAGTGTAATGTAAGATTCGGTTGATTTCCGCTTTTCCTTCTGCCGTACGCCTTAATGCTGAAGCGATGCATTTTTATCAATTGTTCTCACTGTCAATATTTTTGTCCATTTCGTTACAATTCATGCGGATACTTCACTAAAACATTTGGCCAAACATTGGTTTTGACATTTGATGTACTTCCCTTTGACAACCGGATACGGATGTCAAATTTCTTAAAGACTTCGGGGAACGACCTCGGCATTTGAAGGTACTTCGTCCTTTGTACCACGCCGGAGCATTGTATTAGGATGTGCGCAGCCGTTTCCTCCCCTCCAAGAGGGGTCTGTGATACCTAAATTGAAAAGGTGTTTATTGTATGGACCATGACCCGTTAGGGTGGCAGTTAAAGAGCGAAGCTCTTGCCTTTTGAGTTTAATTAATTTTCGGAATAGACTGGCGTTGAGCGTTGGGAGAGCTTCCCCTAGCCTGTCCACAAACCGTAATGGTTGGCCATGTGTTATTATGAGAAGATTTTGTGTATAGTTGTTCTTGACTATTGGTAAGGGAGGGACACTATGGCTTCTGATCCCACAGCGTCCGTCTCCGACCCTTTTCTGGGTGGTTTATCTGATGCCTCATGTGGTAATGACGCATCAGATGAACTAGCCAGAAGTAATAATTAGCGTAATAATTTTCAACTCTTTCACAGAGAGGAAGTAAATTTTATGGGTCCATCGTTTGCGACAATCGCGGGCGCAGGCGAGAACGGGGCCATCATTCACTACAAGCCCGACCCTGAATCAGACCACCGCAGTATTGGTCCAAATGACATGTTGCTCGTTGACTCGGGTGGACAGTACAGGTACCTATGTTATTTGGTTTTTATTAATTAGATACCCAATGTTACAAATGCGGATACACCCAGATACAGTCAGAGACAGCTTCCGCTTTGCCGCCTCTAAATGTTGGAATGACCTTCCACCACCATTGAAGACGGCTGAGTCTTTTTATACATTCGAACGAAAGTGCAAGGAATGGCTTATTTTGCAACAGAAGTCGTCATGTTCCTGGTCGGTTGTAGAATAGTAATCCATATAGTCTGATATCAGTCTTTTGTACCCTTTGTCGTCCCGGTTAAATATGTTTGTTTTTGCTTGATGTGTGTATTATTATCACTTGTAACCAGTAAATAAATAGTTTAATTTTGGTTAGATTTAAGTTACATTAATGTCTGTTTTATTGAAGTCCTTTTGTTAACCGACTTCCAAAAAAGGAGGAGGTTCTCAATTCGACTGTGTATTTTTGTATGTATGTTACGCGATAACTCCGGTATTTGTGTACGGATTTTCATGATTCTTTTTTTGTTCGAAAGAAGGTGCCTCTATAGTGGTCCCATTTAATTTTGAAGACAATCATCCACCTCTAAGGGTGGCTGTTCACGCATGAAGATTCATTTTTATAAATAGCGCCTAAATTTTATTATAAGGAGCAATTATTTTAATGGTTAATTTAGCTATTCTCCAATTCGAGTTGTTTTTCTCTTTCAATATACTTTGAGTAGTGCGAACAGATTTTTATTATCTCCTGTGTCAAGTCCCGTATAGTGGCGAACTAGGGGATGAATCCGGGTTTGCGCACTTTCCAGTAACCGATTTCAATAAAACTTGGTAATTATATGTAATTCCACGTACTTTTGAAGTCTGTTTTTTTAGTACTCTGTACAGAGACTATTAATTTACAATGTCTATGGTCCCGAAGGGATGGATGAGGCAGTTCAACATCTTCTAGCCATGCGAGATTTTCTCACTACCCGCATTTGGTCTTCATTCTTTATTTGTGCACTGGGGTTGTCACTAGACCGTAAACCGTTGTGTGTCAGTATACTGACATACAACACTCATGACATCCGGCGGCTTGTCGTGCGATACTTGATGTCGCTTACAGTCTAGTGACAACCCTGGTGCAAGAAAAACCAAAAACAAAGATCCGACAACAAGCACGTAGAAAAATTCAAGAGGTGCCCTGATTCGTTCCGTGGCTTAGTTGGCATAGCATCTGGCACGGTTTGCTAGGAGACGCCGATTCGAATCCGGTCGGATCGAATAATTGTCGGCCTCCGTGATGGAGTGACTTGCACACCAGTTTTCTTGGTGTCGCCATCTCTCAGGTCCCGGGTTCGATCCCCGGCCGGGTCTATGTAGACAAGTAACTTTTTTATATTCTTCAAAATGTTGAATTTGGCTTGGATACAAGTCCTTTAAGCTATGACTTCATTTAGTTTTCGGAATCCTCAATAAATTCCTAATTTTCTATTGTGTGTAATGTTACTTGTATAATTACTTATTTATATGTATAAATGTAAATTTAATAACCACTTACATAGGGTGTTACTTGAAAATTTAGCAGGTTCTTTATGGTATTTAAACATTAATATCTCCGTATAAAAATTATGTGCAAACATATTTTTATAACTAGTTATACACTTTTGTTTTAGCCTGTTTTCAGGATTTTGTACGATCGGATAAAAGTACATATTATCGTGCATCAAATAAATAACCAAAAATAGATACGAAATGCCATTTAATTTGTTTGAAAACTATTCTACCACAGCATTACGGAGACAATTGCGCTCCGATTGGCCAGCCCGAATTGGAAACAATTGAGGGGTGTCGTCAATTGTTTCACTTCAAATCAATCAGTTTAACTTGAGCTTTGCTATAATTGATGAAAATTGAAGAATTACGTAATTAATATTAATTACCGATGAAATGTGATTCCGTTTGTTTTCTAATTAGATGTTTTGCTGTTTTTCCCAAACCACCGAATGGAACAGCCCCCCATCTCTAACAAGAGATATTATCATTATTACAATAAATACAGAACATTTTCGGAATATACGGAGACGTACACACAGGTCACACAGCTTTCTAATATGAGATTTCAGTGCAAACGAGAGTTGATATTTAAAAGTGATCTAACCCTGGCAACTCATAAGGCCCATTTGCCTGATGGGTTGCCAGCGATGGATGGCCCTTATTTCGTCTCTATTTCTGGTTATATACTCGATGTTATTGTGTAACACAATAAATAGCACATTCTTCAGCCAGTATCCTTGGAAGTATAGTATATCTTTTTGATCTAGCAAAACTGTTTGTCGGTAAGAAATAAATTTAATAACTCAGGGCTTAATTATTTGGAAATGCAGAGACGGAACGACAGACATTACACGCACTCGTCACATGAGCGGTTCACCCACTTCGATGCAGCGATTGGCTTTCACTCGGGTGCTGAAAGGACATATTCTTCTAGGAACAGTTGTATTTCCGAGAGGTACTGTGGTAAGTAGCCTTTTTTAACACCCAACGCAAACAGCTGGCACATGGATAGATCTGCCGTCCACTTGAAAGGGTTG